TGAATAATACAAAATTAAGTTATTACACAATGTATAGGTTCACCACTAAACAGGTATGATAAGAGGACTAGTGAACTAGAATACTGAGCAGAATGAATATAGCCAAATACAGAAGAAATAAAATTTCATAAAATATAATTTTATTTTAATTAAAGACTAGAATGAGGAGTAAAACATGCCTAATTATTGCACTAGAACAACTAGTATGAATTGGCCACAGCAAGTAAGGCCAGTCAGATCCAAGTATTGGGTAAGCAGAATCTTTCCCTCCATGGGAGCAGCGAAAAGCACACATTTCAAAGGGCATGGATAGAGGAATGAATTGTTCCCATTTCTGCAATCAGTATCATTATGCCTTTTCTTGAATAACTGTTCCAAGTCAACTAACTAGTCTATTAAGAGGCTTGGATGGGACTCAGGGTCAACTCTGCCTGACTCCAAACCCATGAACTCCGTGGGCCCCTGAGGTTCTGGAGAGTGCCACTTCTGCCACAGAAGCAGCATTCCTTAGACATTCTCATCCATCTATTGCTCTTCACTATTGGGAATAATCTCCTTTGAACAATGCTTCTGAAGCAACTTGGAAGGTATTCAAATAATCTGAGAAAGTGTCTGAGAACTGAGCTTAGGACATCAAGGCCCAACATTATTCATTTTTCATCATCAGAGAAATTGGAAAACACATAAGAACATGCTCCACATCTTTGCAAATTCTCACATTTGCAAATTCTTTTCATTTTGGTATTTTCAGATTATTTATGCTTTCAACAAAGATTAAACCAAATTACTGTGCCTGAAATAACCTCTTACTCTAAAAGCAAGTGATATAAAAAACAGATAGGTAGACAGATATTTCCTTCTGCTGCCATTTCCAAGACTCCAAACACAGGAGTGGTCATAGGGCAAATACCTGCAGCACGCATGGAAATCACACACAGGTTATGCCTCCCTTACCCTGAAACAGTGGGTCTCACCCCTGACTCCACATTATTGAGTCACATGTAGGGGTTTTACAATTCCCAAAACCCAAATTGCAATATACCAATAAAATCAAAATCCCTGGAGTGGGGTCCAGACATCAGTTATTATTTAAAGTTCTCCAGGTGATTACAGATTGTAGCCAAGCCCCCAAAGTACTGCTTTAAGCCAAATGTTTTTGGTGTACTAGTTGCAAATTGTCTCTTGAATGAATATAAAATGTTTACCCCTGAGTTGCTGCCTTTCAGTCACACCTGTATTAAATCTACTCATCTTTTGCAGGACTGACCTTTGCTACTCCTTTTGTTCCTGATCAACATGCTCCACATGTACTGAGTGCAGACTGTGCCCAGGGTCCTGTGCTAGGTGTCCTGGCCTTCAGAGCATCACTGTGGGGAAAAGACTTTGCTAGGAAAAGTTTCTTCTCAAAAAATCAAAACCACACCACTTACCAAATTAAGGCAAAAATGGAAAGACCCAAGAGGTGTCCAAAAGATCAGGACATTAACAGATACTTTAGAATATTCAAACCCATCTGATAACACCATGAGAGATCGTGTTCCACTTCAAGACAAAAGAAGACACTGACAATATTCTAAGAGTGAGTTAGGATTGTTGCGCAAATATGTAATTAACTTTTTATTGATATAAAACATGCATACAGAAACATTCATGTGAAGCTTTATAGATTACAACAGAAGACTTTACATAACTGAGGAGTGGAGGCAGCTTTATTCCTGCCCAGAAAATAACTTTCTCCCTTCCTCCCTGTCCAAAGGTGAACAAGATCCTGAGAAAACACTGTAAATGAATATTGCACATGTGTACAAATGCTATTAAACACATAAAAACAAAATAGTATATAGACCTGTCACCCAGACTCAACTACTAATCATGTACCACTTCTGCTTCATCTGTACTTCAACCCTTTCCCTACCCCCACCCACTTAACTTTTTAAAGATATTTTTTGTGAAGATGTATATATATTACAAAGCATAAACCTTAACTGGAACTTTTAGACAAATAAATAGACCCATATAAACTTCACCCCTTTTCAAAGCAATACAATACAGTGTTATAATTTGTTTCAAATAGTCACAAGTCTAAGAAATTAAGAAAAATGATACTAGTAAATATTAGACAATAGACACTTAAAATATGAAAATATACTTTTTTTTTGACACGGAGTTCCACTCTTGTCACCCAGGCTGGAGTGCAATGGCACGATCTCGGCTCATGGTAACCTCCACCTCCCAGGTTCAAGCGATTTTTCTTCCTCAGTCTCCCAAGTAGCTGGAATTATAGGTGCCTGCCACCACACCTAGCTAATTTTTGCATTTTCAGTAGAGATGGGTTTTTACCATGTTGGCTGGGCTAGTCTCGAACTTCTTGACCTCAGGTGATCCACCCACCTTGGCCTCCCACAGTGCTGGGATTACAGGCATGCACCATTGTGGCTGGCCCAAATATACTCTTTAACGTTTAAGTTTTTCCTGAAATGTTTGAATCCCTCAGGGAATCTTGCCTACAGTAATTATTACTGGTATGTTCTAGTGTTATTTCGCATTATCAATTACATTGATTTGTATTTTGAATATTGCAAGATTTCCTTCCTTCTTTCCTTATTTAATCACTTTTATGTCAGTAGAGATGTGTGAATATTACTTTATTCCCTGGGCCATAATCCAAAGCTATCATTATTTATTGCCCGTATTGTTGCAGCTTGGACCATTGGGAGGTCTTTCAGGTTGGTTCCCTTTGACAAGTCCCCATCAATTGCATTAAGCACTTTTCTCTTTGTGGCTTTACAAGATACTCTAGCTCAACTTGTATTTTCCAACTTCAGCCTGGAATTATCCATTTTTACATGTAGCCTTGATTCCTTTTAATGAATGGTGTTTAGAAACCAAGACTGTAGGTCTAGGTGTATTCATTGATACTAGATGTCACTGCTTCTTGGCCATCAAGAGTTTGGAACTCTATCTCTGAATCATCTGGCTGTCTGTCTGTCTGTCTATCCACCCATCCATCCATCCAGATATATTAGACGTGGGTTCATATTGATATTTCTAACTTTAGGCTAGAATCACAAGATTCATTCTAGCATTCACCCTTTAACTTTTGTGAATTACACTGAGAAACAGCCTACATATATTACATAATAACCTGTAAAATAGTTTCAAAATTGCTAATTCATATCCTTGTGGGAAAATATTACTCAGTAGAATACAATGTTTGTATATTCTTACAGCATTCAATCAAAATAGCATTTTTCAAAGTGACTTAGATCCAGACTTTTTAATCCCCATCCTCTTCAGTAGGTCTATGTCAATAGGTGGATGACAGATAATTTTTTTTGTTTTTAGACAGAGTCTTACTCTGTCACCCAGGCTGGAGTGCAGTGGCACAAATTTGGCACACTACAACCTTCATCTCCTGGGTTAAAGCAACTCTCCTGCCTCAGTCTCCCAAGTACCTGGGATTATAGGTGTGCACCACCACACCCAGCTCAATTTTTGTATTTTCAGTAGAGACAAGGTATCACTATGTTGGCCAGACTGGTCTCAAACTCCTGACCTCAAATGATCCTCCCTCCTCAGCCTTCCAAAGTGCTGGGATTACAGGTGTGAGCCACCATGCCCGGCCAGATGACAGATAATTTGTAATACAATGAGATTTATTTGTCACTGTGTGCACACATATGTATTTCCCCAGCATCCTGGTTAATTTTTAAAAATTTGCATTGAGTAAAATTTACTCTTTGTAGTGTACAGTTCATTGGGTTTTGACAATTTGCAGCCACATACCTATTTCCACAGTACCACACTAAACTGCTAATCATCCTCTCAATTTTTTCTTGCTGCCTCTTTGTAACCAATGCCTGTCCTCCTCCTATTCTTTGGCAACCACTAATCATTTTTCCGTCCCTTTAATCTTTTATGCAATGTCGTAAAAATAGAATCATACAATATATAGCCTTGTTGATCCAATAGCCCTAATTTAGAGAAATGTATTTAAGATTCATACATGTAGTAGTGGAGATCCACAGTTTGTTCCTTTTTGTTAACAACACAATTCTTTTGTATAGACATATCACAGTTTATTATCCATTTACCTACTAAGGGACATAAGATTTATTTCTAGCTTTTTGCAAATATGAATATAGTAGCAACAAGTATCCACAACCAGGTTTTAATCACTAGTTTTCAGTTTTGTATAATAAATGCCTAGGGTTGGGACATCTGGTTCAAATAATATATGAGTAACTTTACAAAAAATGGTTAAACTACTTTACAAAGTTACTATGTCATTTTGTGTTCTGAATTTGACTTGCTCCAAATCCTAACCAGTGCTTGGTATTCACATTTAAAAAAATTATTTTTACCATTCTCATAGGTGTGTGATATCTTACTGTGGCTTGGTTTCATTTTTTAAAGAATTCTGCTAAGTACAGAATCTTGTGTTGATACTAGGTTTTCCTATCTGGACTTAAAAAATGTAATTCCATTGTCATTTGCAACCATTATGACTTATTATACTACACTTACATTGTTTTTCCTTTTATGTAATTTCTTGCTTTGAACTGGCTGTTTTCAAGATTTTATATCTTTGACACTACTTTTACTTTAACTAAATGGTCAGAATTTTGCATTGTAACTAAATAGATCACTGTAGAGTTACTTATGTTCTCAGATTAATTTCTAAGTACCATTAAAACTTCCTTTTTTTTTTGAGATGGCATGATCTCAGCTCAATGCAACTTCTGCCTCCCAAATTCAAGCGATTCTACTGCCTCAGACTCCCAAGTAGCTGGGATTACAGACAGGTGCCACCACGCCTGGCTAATTTTTATATTTTTAGTTAGAGACGGGGTTTCACTATGTTGGCTAGGCTGGTCTTGAACTCTCAACCTCAGGTGATTCGCCAATCTCAGCCTCCCAAAATGCTGGATTGCTGGCATGAGCCGCCATGTCTGGCCAGCACCATTAAATTTTATGAAAACGTTCTTAAATCCAAGGGTACATATAAGCAACATTTTATAAGCTTTGAAATAAGAAAATCATATAATTATTCTTACATGAATCATAGGCAAGAAAAAAGGATTTGTATGGGATAGACTTTGAACCCAGAAGACATTAGATTTATGAGAGAAAATTTCAGCGTACTATAGAGAAACTATTCTGCTTTGAGAATTTGTGAATCTTCTAGTTTGGTAGTAAATCAACAGTTCTCAAATTTCCTGTTGTGATCCATGATTTTCTTTTCCATTTGAAGATAGGTACACACACATGCATTTCTGCTGGTATAGTTCTCTTAAACCTTTTTCTTTCTATCTTGATATATCTGTATATTCCATTTAATGTAAGTCAAAGCCAAGAAAAATCTGTAAGTGTTCAATTGGATTGAAAAAGGGCATGTATAAAGAAAACTATTGAATATAATTTTAAAAATAGTGATTCAAGATTTTAAATGTATGGCTTTTAAGTATACTCCCATATAATCTTTATTATAACTGCTTTAACTAGTAGCTACAAAAAGCAGGAAAGAATACAATTTAGTAACTATGAGAATACTATCAATATTAAAGTCCTCTTGAAAATTGATATGAGGTATATTTACAATCTTTCAGATACAAGTTTTCACTTTTCTCTCATATCTGTGAAGACATTTTTAACACATCAAATAATATTCAAGATTACTACTTCATTGTATTATAATGGTATGCCAGTATTTTAAATAACTGATCAGTTTTCTTCAACTTAACGGGCAACTGATGTAATTAATAAATTCAGACTATTCCTCTTTTACTTTAGCATAGAATAATAATGCCCTAAATATGTAGTATATGCTTACATGCATTACTGTTTTATAATTTAAACACAAAGAGCATCTTTTAGATTTTCTTTATGCATTTTATATTTGCCATTAAACTTCCATGAAAATAGATATTGATGATATTCATCTACCCTAGAATGACCTCTCACAGCTCTGATGCAGAAAAAATAGACTATATGTTTTTATATAAACTAGGCATTAAGGTGTAACAACTAATTTAAGAAACAAAATAAATAACTGCTTTGGTTTTAGAGTAATTCTCCGTAATAAATACTCTTGTTATTTAATTTAAAGTCTGAGGATCTGTGCTTTAGTTCTTTTTTGGGTAAGTTTTGACACATTCAGACTTGAGTGTTGATTAAATACTTCCTCCCATTTATTCAGTCTATAAAGTCTGTTTCCCTATAAACTCTATGGTAATTTTTAAGTTCTAAATTTTGGATAAAACTCTTTCCACATTTACTACAACTATAGAGATTGTCTAGTATGAATTTTCTCATGTCGAGTAAGGGTTGAGGAGCAAGAGAAAGATCTGCTACATGCTTTGCATTTGTAAAGTTTTACTCCAGTATGAATTCTACGATGTTTAGTTAGGTATGAACTACAGTTAAAGGCTTTGCCACATTCTTTACATATGTACGGTTTCTCTCCAGTATGAATTTCTTGATGTCGAGTAAGGCGTGAACTGCAATTAAAGGCTTTGCCACATTCTTTGCATTTATAGGGTTTTTCTCCAGTATGAATTCTCTGGTGGACAATAAGACTTGAGGAACGGGAAAAAGATTTGCTACATGATTTACATGTGTAAAGTTTTTCTCCTGTATGAATTCTCTGATGTTTAGTTAGGTAAGACCTACAGTTAAAGGCTTTGCTGCATTCTTTACATTTGTAGGGTTTCTCTCCAGTATGAATTCTCTCATGTTGAGTAAGGACTGAAGATAGTCTAAATGATTTACCGCATTCTTTACATTTGTAAGGTTTCTCACCAGTATGAATTCTCTGATGCACAAGAAGATTTGAAGAATGAGTAAAACATTTGCTACATGCTTTGCATCTGTAAAGTTTTTCTCCAGTGTGAATTCGCTGATGGCTATTAAAATATGAACTAGAATTGAAGGCTTTGCCACATTCTTTACATTTGTAGGGTTTCTCTCCAGTATGAATTCTTTGATGTTGAGTAAGGTGTGAAATATAGTTAAAAACCTTCTTACATTCTCTACATCTGTAAGGTTTCTCTTCATTATGGATTATCTTATGTTTTCTTAGACTCGACAATTTACTAAGGATTTTCTCACCATTATTACGTCTGTGTGACTTTTCTCCAATGTGGATTCTCTGAGGCTGAGTATTTGATGACTGGATAAAAGTTTCTACACACTTATTACATTTGACAGACTTCTCTTGAATATGGATACTCTGATGGATATGGTTGGTGCATTCATGAAAGACTTTCTCACATTTTTTACATTTGTAATGGTTCTGTAGAAAATGAGTTTTCTGATGTCTTCTAGGGCTTATGCCTTGGCTTAATGTTGCATCAGATTTATTGTACTGATTTTTCTCTGCAAGACAAATATCCTGGTAATTATTTAGGGTAGAGTCCTGTTTAAAGGCTGTTAAAGTTTTATCATACGTGTGATATTTTCCCAAATTATCTATGCCCTGATATTGATTAAGCAATCATGAATGAATGAAGACTTTTATATATTGATTAGAGGCAGAACAAGGTGTTATTTGTTGGTGAAACGAACTTTAAACAAAGCATCCATCAAATTGATCATATTTAGAAATCACCTCTTCAATTTGAAATCTCTCTTTTTCAGAAATATTTGACTGAACATTTACTCCAGTTCTATATTTTAATTGGTTTATATGATTATTTGAAACACGAACTAAGTCACTATTCAGATTTTCCATATTTCCTTTCAAAGAAAAGATATGTTTCAAAAATTGATGTTGACATTTAGTTACAGAAATACATGGTTTAGAAAAGGCAACTGACATAGATTGAGTTTTTTCATGTTTTTGACCTCTTGTTGTACTGGTGCTTTTGTTATAGGTAGTTGTCCTACATTTTGTATGTCCATCATAACAGTCGTTGTGACCTTCACACTTACCGTCGCTTTCACACTCTTTCCTTAAGTGTAAATTCTGAAGTCCACAGCTCCCATATCCATCCAATATCACTTTTTGGAATGATGCTTCTATGCGCTTCTTTCTCAAGAGGGCTTGAGTATCAAGAGAAAATATATCTGAAAGATACCAAAAGTTGTGAAAATTCCAATTACTACATTCAGGAGAAAATAATTTATAAATCTAATACATAAAATTACAAGAAGTTGAGAACACCATGATAGTTGAATCAAAAACTTGAGGCCCCTTTGTTTTTCTCAATTGATATATGTGCTTATATATATAATAGGGTGACTAAAGCCAGTTGAGTTTGCGGTGCTTAGGTGAACACAAAGCCAAGAATGGTTGCATCCAGAAGGAAGAAAGTTTGTTGTATTTATGCACCACAGTGCAGTGCAGTTACACTAAAACTTTTCATATTGTGTTTCACCCTCAGGAAAGAAAAAAAAAAAAAGGAGTGAAACATGTCCAAACTTCTGGGTTATTCTGGGGCTATCTAAGGACTGGTCATTGCTTCCTTTAATGATGCTGAAGAAAATGGTGATATATTTGAAATGACATGTCAGGTCAACTGAGAACAAAGATGAATGCTTGTTACAACAACAGAGAGACATTAGTGTCTATGACAGTCATCAAAGGGAGAGATTAAAGGCTCCTAAGAGAGAAAAAAGCAAATCTTTTACATATGAAAATACACACAGTAGTCCAAAGAAGACATATCCTGACAGCAGTTTGAAGAATTACCCAGAATGACTATAGCCTGATAGGTATCTGTTTTCCCCTGTACAAATTCATTCTATAAAAGATGAATAGGTAGCTGTTTCTTAATTGATCAAAATATTAACAAAATCACAAGAAAAAGTAATTAAAAAACATGGTCCAATCAAAGGACCAAAATGAAAGTAAATCTAAAGAAGTAGAAATCTATTAACTAACATATTAATATCCAAGTGAAGCTAGAGAAGTAGTAATCTGTTAATTAATTTTAAAATAATTTAAAATATCTTTTTCTTACAGACAAGGTCTTACACTGTCACCAGGCCAGAATGCAATCATAGCTCACTGGAACCTTGAATTCCTGGCCTAAAGCAGTCACCCTATCTCACTTTCCCAAGTGGCTATGACTACAGGAGTGCACCATCATATCTGAATACTTTTTAAAATTCTTTGTGCAGATAGGGTCTTGCTAGGTCATCTAGGATGCTTAAGAATTCCTGGCCTCAAGGAATCCTATAGCCTCAGACTCTCAAAGCCCTGGGATAACACCAGCAACTGCACCTGGCATTCTCTGCTTTCTTTAAGAAATGAAGACATTAAGCCCACAACTGCACAAAAGGAAAAGGATATATTACATACTGATAAAGAGTTCAATTCAATAAGGATATTTAAATATGCTAAACACCTATCCCCCAAACTTTGGAGCACCAAGATTCATAAAACAAGTACTTCTAGACCTGAGAAAAAATTGGCGACATAGTAACAGTGGGGTACTTCAATACCCCATGGACATCATTAGAACACTGAGGCAGAAAATTAACAAAGAAATTTTGGACATCAATTCCACATGACCAACTGGACCTAATAGGCATCTACAGAATAGACCAATTGGAAGCAATAGAAATCTACAGAATACTTCACCTAGCAACCACAGAACACACATATCTTTCATATGCACACAGGACACACTTGAAGATTGACCCTACATGCTCAGCCAGAAAGCAAGTCTCAATAAATTAAAAAAAAAAAATCAAAATCATACCAACCATTACAATACTCTTGTTTCTTTTTCTTTTCTTTTCTTTTTTTTTTACTACCTCCAGTAATGGGTATAAGTAAATTTGTTTTCTTTTTTTTTCACTACCAACCATACTATTGAACTAAAATAGAATAAAAACAGAAAATAATACCAAGAAGATCTCTCAAAACCACAGAACGCATAGAAATTGAACAACTGAATCAACAACTTTTGAGTAACAATGAAATCAAGGTACAAATTAAAAAAATTCTTTGAAATAAGTAAAAACAGAGAAAACACATACCAAAATCTTTGGGACACAGCTAAAGCCACATTAAAAGAAGTTTATAACACGAAATGCCTACTTCAAGAAATTAGATCTCAAATTAATGATGTAAGATCACATGTAAAGAAACTAGAAAAAGAAAAATAAGTTGAGCACAAAGCTAGCGGAAGAAAAGAAATAACTAAAATCAGATAACTGAATTAAATTGAGACCCCAAATTCCATACATCAGCAAGCATCAGCAACACCAAAGTTGGTTCTTTGAAAGGATAAACAAGATTGATAGACCACTAGTTAGGTTACTAAAGAAAAAGAGAAGATCCAAATAAGCACAATCAGAAACAACTAAGGGGACATTACAATCGATCCCACAGTTATACAGAAGATTCCCAGAGACTTATAAACACTTCTATGCACATAAAGTAGAAAATCTAGAGGAAACGGAGAAATTCCTAGAAACACAAAATCCCCAAAGATTAAACAGGGAAGAAACTGAAACCCTGAACAAACCAGTATGAAGTTCTGATATTGAATCAGTAATAAAAAACCTATCAATCATTAAAAAAAAAAACAAAAACCTGGACCAGATGGATTCACAGCTGAATTATACCAGAAGTACAAGGAAAAGCTGGTATCAATTCTACTGAAATTATTCCAAAAAACAAAGAGGAGGGACTCCTCCCCTCTCATTCTATGAGGCCAACATCAGTCTATTACCAAAATCTGGCAAAGACACAATGAACAAACAAAACTGCAGGACAATATCTTTGATTAACATAGATATAAAAGTCCTCAACAAAATACTAGCAAACCAAATCCAGCAGCACACCCAAAGGTAATTTACCACAATTAACCATGCTTTATTCCTGGAATGCAAGGTTGGTATAACATGTGAAAATCACTAAATGTGATTCAGCACACAGAATTAAAATTTAAAAGCTGGGTGCAGTGGCTGACTCCTGTAATCCCAGCACTTTGGAAGGCCAAGGAGGGTAGATCACCTGAGGCCAGGAGTTCGAAACCAGCTTGGCCAACATGGTGAAACCCTGTCTCTACTAAAAACACAAACATTAGCTGGGTGTGGTGGTGCATGCAGGCACTCAGGAGGCTGAGGCATGAGAATCACTTGAGCCCAGGAGGCAGAGGTTGCAGTGAGCACTCTAGCCTGGGGGATAGAGTGGGACTCTATCTCAAAAAAAACCCCACTATTTCAATAGATATGGGATAAGCTTTTGATAAAACTTAACATCCTTTAATGATTTAAAAAAAAAAAACCCTGAACAAACTAAGAATTGAAGAAACATACCTCAAAATAATGAGAGCCATCTATAAGAAACCCACAGCCAACACACTGACCAGGCAAAAGCTGGAGGCATTCTCCTTAAAAACAAGAAGAAGAGAAGAATGCCCACTCTCACCACTTCTACTCAACATAGTAATGGAAGTACGAGCCAGACAAATCAGTCAAGAGAATGAAATAAAAGGCATCCAAAGAGAAAAAGAAGAAAGTAACATCATTTCTGCTGATATAATTCTATATCTCAAGAGACTGTGCCAAAAGTATCCTAAAACTTATAAGGAACTCCAGTAAAATTTCAAGATACAAAATCAAAGTACAAAAATTAGTAGCATTTCTAGACACCAATAACATTCAAGCTGAGGGCCAAATCAAGAACATAATTCTATTTACAATAGCCATACACACAATGAAAAAACCAAATACCTAGAAATAGATCTAACCAACGAGGTTAAAGGTCTCTACAAGGGGAACTATAAAACACTGTTGAAAATAATAATAGACAACACAAACAATTGGAAAAACATTCATGATCATAGAAGAATCAACATCATTAAAATGACCATACTGCCCAAAGCAATCTAGAGATTCAATACTATTTCTATCAAACTACCAATGTCATTTTTCACAGAATTAGAAAAAAACTATTCTAAAATTCATATGGAATTAAGAATGGAAAATAAATAGTGTGCAAAGTAAAATACTGTCATATTAGTTAAAATACATGTTATATCAAAACATGTGACAAGAGACAAGAAAGAGCATTATATAATTATAAAAGGGTTCATTGTCCAGGAAGCGGTAATAAATATTAACAATATGTACATAACATCACAGCTCCCACATACATGCAGCAACCAGCAAACTTTTACAGAATTGAAGCAATAAGTAGCCAGCAGTACAATAGTAGTAGGAGACTTCCATCCTCCACTTTCACTAATGGAAAGAATAAAAGAGACAGAAGATCAATAAGGAAACAGAGGACGTGAACATCACTGTAGACCATTAGACCTAACAGTCATATATAGAACTGACCGTTCAACAGCAGAATACACAATACCCTTAACCATACATGACACTTTATCACAGATAGACAACCTGTTAAGCCACAAAAAAAGTCTTACAAATTTAAGATGAAAAACACACAAAGCATCACTGCTTACTACAATAGAATAAAACTAGAAGTTAAGAACAGAAAGAAAAATGGCATGTCCACAAATACGTGGAAATTAAATAAACTCTCAAACACACTCTTGTTCGAGAGTTTAAAGACAATGTTGTTAAGATGCCAATACTACCCCAAAAGATCTACAGATTCAATGTACTCTCCATGTTAATGGAGCTTTTTGCACAAGTATTAAAATAGTCTAAAATGTCTATGGAATCTCAAGAGACCACAGATGGATAAACAATCTTGGGAAAGAATAACAAAGAGATATCATATGTTCTGATTTCAAAACATACTACAAAGCTATTGTACTCAAAACACTGTGCTACTGACAGAAAGATAAATAAAAGATGAAACAGATTGGAGAATCCAGAAATAAATCCTCATGTATATAGTAAACTTATTTTCAATAAGGGTTCCAAGAATCCACAATGAGGAAAGGACAGTCTCTTCAACAAATAGGGTGGGAATATTGGAAACCAACAAGAGAAAATATAAAGTTGGACCTTACCTTGCACATTTACAAACATGACTCTCAATGGACTGAGTTATTTTTTGTAGCCACTGTAACTTACATTTTTTATTTTCTTTTTCAGATTGTTTTCTAACAGTACATAGAGATGCTACTGATATT